GAGAGGGCTGCTCCACAACAGAGAGAGCTGCTTTACAACAGAGAGAGCTGCTCTACAACAGAGAGGGCTGCTCCACAACAGAGAGAGCTGCTCTACAACAGAGAGGGCTGCTCTACAACAGAGAGAGAGAGGCTGCTCTACAACAGAGAGGGCTGCTTTACAACAGAGAGAGCTGCTGCTACAACAGAGAGGGCTGCTGCTGCTCCACAACAGAGAGAGCTGCTCTACAACAGAGAGGGCTGCTCTACAACAGAGAGAGCACAACAGAGAGGGCTGCTCTACAACAGAGAGGGCTGCTCTACAACAGAGTCCTGCTCTACAACAGAGAGCACTGCTCTACAACAGAGAGAACTGCTCTACAACAGAGAACTGCTCTACAACAGAGAGAACTGCTCTACAACAGAGATACAACAGAGAGGGCTGCTCTACAACAGAGAGAACTACTCAGCAAAATTACAGCAATATCAGAGAGGGGACACCAGAAATGGGCTTCACACATTGTGCCCATGTGGGGAATCGAACCCGGTCTTCGGCTGGCCAGAGAACGCGCTTAACCACTAGGCTACCCCCTGCTCTACAACAGCAGGGCTGCTCTACAACAGAGAGCTCTACAACAGAGGCTGCTCTACAACAGAGATAGGGCTGCTCCACAACAGAGAACTGCTTTTACAACAGAGAGCTGCTCTACAACAGAGAGGGCTGCTCTACAACAGAGAGAGCTGCAACAGAGAGAGCTGCTCTACAACAGAGGGCTGCTCCACAACAGAGAGAGCTTTACAACAGCTGCTGCTACAACAGAGAGGGCTGAGAGAGAGCTGCTCTACAACAGAGAGGGCTGCTCTACAACAGAGAGGGCTGCTCTACAACAGAGAGGGCTGCTCTACAACAGAGAGGGCTGCTCTACAACAGAGAGAGAACTGCTCTACAACAGAGAGGGCTGCTCTACAACAGAGAGAGCTGCTCTACAACAGAGAGGGCTGCTCTACAACAGAGAGAGCTGCTCTACAACAGAGAGGGTTGCTCTACAACAGAGTCTTCACTGGAGAGGTGCTCTACAACAACAGAGGAGCTGCTCTACAACAGAGAGGGCTGCTCTACAACAGAGAGGGCTGCTCTACAACAGAGAGAGCTGCTCTACAACAGAGAGGGCTGCTCTACAACAGAGAGAGCTGCTCTACAACAGAGAGGGCTGCTCTACAACAGAGAGAGCTGCTCTACAACAGAGAGAGGCTGCTCTACAACATAGAGAGGGCTGCTCTACAACAGAGGGAGCTGCTCTACAACAAGAGAGAGGGTTGCTCTACAACTGCACTACAACAGAGAGGGCTGCTCTACAACAGAGAGGGCTGCTCTACAACAGAGAGGGCTGCTCTACAACAGAGAGGGCTGCTCTACAACAGAGAGGGCTGCTCTACAACAGAGAGGGCTGCTCTACAACAGAGAGGGCTGCTCTACAACAGAGAGGGCTGCTCTACAACAGAGAGGGCTGCTCTACAACAGACAGAGAGGGCTGCTCTACCAGAGAGGGCTACAACACAGAGAGCTGCTCTACAACAGAGAGGTGCTGTACAAAACAGAAAGCTGCAGTACAACAGGGCACCTACAGTTTCTTTACTCCTGATGACCGACAGTCAACACATTACCTGTTTATTGTGAAGCCTAATAAGCAGAAGTAAACATCAGCTAAAACCAGATCAAACATGGAAGCTGTAAATTGAATCCCTGACATCAACACTCTGCTATTCATGATGAAGGATGGCATCAGAGTGCCAGAAACACCTCCAAGACGGACAATCTACATACACCCAGAGACAGGTGTCCATTATGAGGCTTCATAAACCATTCTTCATCAACAACACGGTTTGTGTTCTCGGGCACTAATTTCGCAAAAATATACAAACAGAAAAAGTCCATACCTTTTATATACCAGGTTTAACAATTAGCGGTCATGAAAAATCTTCATGGCAAAAATCAATATACTAGAACACTAGTAAATGGATTGAGTCTGTGAAGCATAATTCATTGAGCAGATTCGACCCTTCTGTACCACGGTCAGGAGCGATCTTGTTTACCCATACACCACCACTCTGTCCCTTTACTGAATGATCCATTAGGCTTGTTAATAGCCATTATTAGATTATCATCCATTTGGTCCCGATTGAGGAGGTGTCTGGTGATTTATTTTTCAGGACTGGAAACTTCTGCTATCATTGACTGTAATGCCTTACGGACTAGTCATTATCTCTTCATATTAATGACTTGTCCTAAATAATTTGTGGCTGATGAAAAAAAAGAGAGTTAACTACTCGCACACAAAATAGCCATATTGTTTTAAGGCATATTGTTACCGTGTACCTTCACAAATAGCTGTACCAAAAAAATTTAGTGATCGGGATACATTCACACTATTCATACTCCTACTCACCATTCTGTGTCAGCAAATAGTCACACGATAGTTTAGTGTAGCAATATTCCTCCACTCACCTCACAAGTTTGTGATTTCTCAAAGCTTACCCAAAGAGATGACAAAATATAGTGAGGTTGTAATTGCTTTTATTGTGATATTGCTCATGTAGTGAGTGAGTGAGTTTAGTTTTACGCTGCTTTTAGCAATATTCTATCAATATCACAGTGGAGGACACCAGAAAATTGGGCTTCACACATTGTACCCATGTGGGGAATCAAACCCGGTCTTCGCATGAGAAGCGAACGCTTTAACCACTAGGCTACCCTACCATGGGTATTGCTCATGTAAAGTCTTTGAATGGTTATTAAAAGTGATACTCATAATAGGTGAGAATTTAATAAAGAAGTTGACATCCATAATTTCTCATCTTTTATGATTTTGCTCATGTTTCAGTTTGCCAGGACTCGGTTGCTTCCAGGCCGATGTGACACAGATTGTGTCGCACAAATCAACATTCACTCCGACTCCTTTGTAGTTATGGCTATGATTGTTATTTGTGAAGTACTGATGGAGTCGTGACGTTGTTTTAGAGTCGGCGTCGTGACGTTGTTTAGAGTTGCATGCGTTGTTTAGAGTAAGTAAGTTGTTTAGAGTCACGTTGTTTACAGCAACACTCAGCATTAGTCCAGCTGTATGACAGCAGCTTGTACTGATTAACATTGGAAGAGACAATCTGGTTAGATTGTGAGTGAGTGAGTGAGTGAGTGAGTGAGTGAGTGAGTGAGTGAGTGAGTGAGTTGAGGTTACGCTGCACTCAGCAATACTCCAGCTATATGGCGGTCAATAAATAATCAGACAATCCAGTGATCCAGTGATCAACAGCATGAGCATCTATCTGTGCAATTGGGAACCGATGACATGTGTCAAACAGGCCAGCGAGCCTCACCACCCGATCCCATTATGGTTACATTGTGAGCAACGTGCCAAGCTGCATGGATATGAAGACATACAAACAACCAAGTCTACCAAGTGGGACCATGCAATTCATGTAGTACCCTTTCTCAGCCATCATTGGGGCGGTGGTGTAGCCTAGTGGTTAAAGCGTTCGCTCGTCACGCCGAAGACCCGGGTTCGATTCCCCACATGGGTACATTGTGTGAAGCCCATTTCTGGTGTCCCCCGCCGTAATATTGCTGGAATATTGCTAAAAGTGGCGTAAAACCCCACTCGCTCACTCACTCACTCAGCCATCATCAGATGCTGTTCTACTCTGGAACCCCTCAGGGAACATTCCTGTTTGTTTATTTTCCAACGCCGCTCTCAGCAATATTCCAGCTGTATGGCACCAGTCTGTAAATTATAAAATCTGGACCAGACAATCCAGTGATCAACAGCAAGAGCATCAATCTACCCAAGTGGGATGCAATGACATGTGTCAACCAAGTCAGCGAGCCTGACCAGCCGATCCTCTATGTTGCCTCTTATGACAAGCATGGGTTGCTGAAGACCGATTCTAACCCGGATCTTCATGGGTCAGTGATCAACAGCATGAGCATCGGTCTATGCAAGTGGGACACAATGACATGTTCCAACCAAGTCAGCGAGCCTGACCACCCGATCCTCTTAGTGGCCTCTTATGACAAGCATGGGTTGCTGAAGACCAATTCTAACCCAGATCTTCATGGGTCAGTGATCAACAGCATGAGCATCGATCTACGCAAATGGGATACAATGACATGTGCCAACCAAGTCAGCGAGTCTGACCACTCAATACCATTAGTTGCCTCTTGTGACAAGCATATGGACCAGTAATCAGGAATGGCTGACAGCAAAAGACTTCAGTTCACACTGACCCTGTCAAAGCACGTCAGCTGATCCTGTCTTTTTCAAAATAATTACTGTTGTTTTTTTCCCAATAATTTGAAACTTTAGGAAATTTAATCCGCACTTGATTTTTAAAATCAACGCCATTCTTTTGCTGAAGGCAAGTAATTTTCCTTTAATCAGAATGTCATAAATACGATGTCATGCCCTTAACGAGATCAGAGGGAGAACTTAGCTAACAAAGATGCCTGTCCTAGGGTTATAGCATCATCTTGACCTGATTAAAATGTCAAATACAAGATAGCTATGTTGAAAGTGGCTATCAGAGATCAATGGGTTCAGCCTGAAGGACCCGTTTTACTACCCTGCTACTCTTGAGTGAGTCCAACCTGACTGACATTAACGACTGAACGTGACCTTAGCATGACCTCTGACCTTGCTATTCACTGAAGCCAGGTCATGGATGTAAAAGCACACACCTGACCTCACAGGTAAAAATATACACAAGCGTAACACAAGTGATGGGCCAGTAATGAAAACGTCTTCCCATATACAGGTTAGTATTAAACTAGGTCATTAGAAATGAACGTATGTACATTTCGAAAGTGAATGCATCAATTTGTCAGCAGCAGTGATATACACTGGTATACAACAGATTATAGTGGTATAAAAGTATGAATGGGCCCTTTCTTGTATGTTTGTAAAACATATACACAATAGATCTGCTTGCTTTGCTTCACTGTTGTGTGTCATGAAAAGATGGAATACAACCATGACAATCGACCTTCCCTCACTGAATAGATACACAGGTAGATTTCAGTACTGACACTAGTGGAACTGTTCCTACATATGTGGCAGTGTAATAGTGGGTGCATCAGATACTTGAAATAACCAGTGTTGCTTCAAAGCAGAGATGATACATATTTTGTACACACAGACATTTCATTAGTCTGGACAGCGCTGTTTTTCAGTGAGTTCAGCTGGATTCACAAATCTCTGGATTATAGAATCACAG